CTCTCTCTCTCTCTCTCTCTCTCTCTCTCTCTCTCATTCATGCAAGCCATGGCACATTTGTGATAGTCAGAGAAAAACCTTAGGTTTCAATCCTCAATTTTTTACCTTGCCACATAGACCAGGTTAGCTGGCCTGGGGGCTTCCAGGAATTCTTCTGTCTCTACCTGCCATCTTACCATGGCATAGCTAACATTGTAGATGTGTTACCATGCCTGACTTTATGTGGATTTGGAGGATCCAAACATAGGTTCTTATGATTTTGTAGCAAATACTTTACCACTGTGCTATCATCTTAGCTCTATGAACTTTTTTAAATCTAAAATTTAAATCTGGGGTTGGGAGATATCCAGGTAGTTGTCAGCTAAGTCCTCTGTCTCATTTGGGCACTTAAAACATTCTTGACTTGTTAACTGGCCATATGGTTTCTCTGAGAAAGCATGAAGAAATAAGGAAAACTCCTACACTGGACATCATTTTGAATGATAAAGGAAGAATCATTTCAGGATGGGGAAGTGGTGTGAAATGTGGAAGAAAATTACCCAGTTATGTTATTATTAGTAGGAGAGGAGGAAGGAAAAACAAGATCTAGTTATAAATGTATATATGTATATATATGCATATATATATTAGAGAGACACATTTTTAAAAGAGTGTATATGCTTTTCAAAGATAGAGATTATAAAAAGGAATATAGTTTAAGAGAGAAAAGAAGACTTAAAAATTAATTCATATAATAAAGTTTCAATAAAAGAGAGAAGACAACTCCCCAATTCCACTGGGGTTGCTGGTCTACACTAATGATTGGAGGGTTAAAAGAACTGGCAACAAAGGATAATATTCAGTAGATGTGTTAGGGCATCTACATGTACAATGTAAAGCTCAGCACAAACACATGATAATAGCTGACACCACAGCATAGAATATGGAAATGGAAGAGAATTTTGTTATTGTTATTGTTTTGCCTTCAGGATAAGCTATGGTAGGTAGAAACAGAACCAATGGATGAAGATGTGATTCCATAAGGGCAAAAGAAACTAGCTGCCCTCAGTGACCAACACTTGTATTATCAGCACCCAGCATTTGAGGGGGTTGCTGAGGCAGGGGGATGGAGAGTTCAAGGGTAACATGGGCACATTGAGAGACTTCGTCTCAGAAAAAAATGAATAAAAAGCACTTCTCATTCTCTCTTTCTTCTTACTAAAGATGTGTCCTAATATGGTGATACAAATAAAAATAATAAGGAAAATTTATCTTACACTAAATTAGTAGAGACCAAAAGAAAAGCTCATAAAATCATATTGAGTTTGCTGCTAGCAATGAATTTTGGGAAAAAAAATGCAGCTTAAATTATAGAATCATTTCAAGAAATCAATAATGAGAGGTCTACTCAAAGGCAAAAGAAGAGGAAGAAAGGCAAATTCAGGAAATATAAATGAAGATAGACATAAATCAATAGTCATGATGTGTTTTGGTAATTTTCTAGTGCACAGTTTTATAATAGAGGCTGTACAAACACTTAGAAAGGAGCCAAGCAATGATAGGAATCAGGATGGGTTCAGTAAGTGTGCATTTTATTTCAACATTAGCTGAAGCATGTAAGGAAGAATTGTAGTCTGGAGGACCATGGAGGACCATGATTTTGGCAAAACTTTGTTGACATTACTTGGATTCTTTGAAAAAAGAAAGTAAAAGGAGTTGGATACATAATTAAATATATTCAAAACAGTTTTTTTTCCTTTTCTTTTTGGGCAGGGTCACTGAGTATCTCAAGTTGCTCTCCCACTTGCTATATCACTCAGGCTCTCCTTGAATTAGTGATCTTCGAGACTTAACCTAATGGTCCATTAGGTTAGATTACTAGTATGCATCACCAAAGCTAGCTTGAAAGCAGCTTTGAAGAAATTCTATGTACAGTAGCTAAATAAGATTAACGTTTTTATCAACACTGTTGGAAAAATATAAATAAGCTGCAAGATCATTATATTTTAGAGCTATAAGTAATCATGAAGAGAATCTAAAATTCTACTTTATAGGTGAGGAAAATGAAATTGACAAGGGAAATGACTTTGCAAAATGTGTAT